ATTCCAGCCTGGGTAACAAGAGTGAAACTCCATCTCAAAAAATAAAAAATAAAAGTCAGAGAGAAAAGGCAAAAACACCACAGTGACATCTTTACAATCCATGATAGAGGAACAGGAATCCCAAGAAAGACAACTCCTCCTGATGATTAGCTTGCGGTCAAAAATTACACAATACATGCAGACATCTAACACCAGAGTTAACAAACAAACAAAAGAATTCCAAAATCCGACAATCTTTACAATAAATATGTTTTAAATGTTCAAATAAATAAAGGAATATAATCCTACAGACACTAAAGCAAGATGCCCTGAAAAAAGAAGAAACACATTGAAAAACAAAATCGCACAGAAATTCTAGCTATAATTTACCCAGAAAAAAAATTTATTCATTGAAATAAAAATAAGCACAAATCTGAAGACAGAGTTAAAGATATTATCCATAATGCAAAGATAAGAGAGAAAATATGAAAGACAAATTAAAAGACATGAAAAATAGAATGAAAATCCCAAACATATACCTAAAAGTTCTAGGAGAAAAAAAGTTAAAGAGAAAGTTACAGCTGGTTGAGTTGGCTCACGCCTGTAATCCTAGCACTTTGGGACGCCGAGATGGGTAGATCACCTGAGGTCAGGAGTTCGAGACCAGCCTGGCCAACATGGTGACATCCCATCTCTACCTTTTTAATTAAAAAAAAAAAAAAAATACATATATATATATTTTAAAAAAAATAAAAAAATTTAAAAAATAAAATAAATAAAATAAATAAAAAAATAAAAAATTAAAAATTAAAAAAATTAAAAAAAATTAAAAAATAAAAAATAAAAAAATTAAAATTAAAAATTTAAAAAAAAAAAAAGGAGAGAGAAAGTTACAGTATTTAAAGACAAAGAGCAGAAAATAAAACATGGAAAAAGGACACTGAGTCCTCAGAATGAAAAAGCAGACCTAGTCTCCAACAGGATATTCAAACTGCCAAAAGATTGTTTATCAACCAACAAATACCAGAAGACAAACTAGAATAAAATCTCTCATTACAGGAAAATAACTATTATCACAAGATTCAAGCTAGCTTCCAAGACAGCAAAACAATGAAATTATTAGACACAAAAAGACTAATATAGCTTTCTTATTTATTACTTACTAGTGTAAGACCCTGAGTAAAAACATCAAAACCCTTCAAAAGAAAAAGAATGAACCCATAAAGCAACAAGGAAAATAAAAGGCTAGGTTGAATAAAAACACCAGTAACGTTAAGTCTAAATTATAAACGACTGTTTTTTTGAAAACACACGAGATTCAAAATAGAGGCTGGGTGCAGTGGTTCACGCCTGTAACCCCAGCACTTTGGGAGGCCAAGGCAGGCAGATCATGAGGTCAGGCATTTAAAACCAGCCTGACCAACACAGTGAAACCTAATTTTGTATTTTTAGTCTCTACTAATAATACGAAAATTAGCCTGCATAGCAGCACATGCCTATAATCCCAGCTATTCAGGATGCTGAGGTAGGAGAATCGCTGTCCCCAGGAGGGACGTGTTGCGTAAACCCCAAATTATGCCACTGCACTCCAGCCTGGGTGACAGAGTGAGACTCTGTCTCAAAAAAAAAGAAAAAAAAAAAGAAGAAGATTATAAATAAGATGGACAGTTGCTCACACCTGTAATCCCAGCACTCTGGAAGGCAGAGGCAGGTGCATCACTTCAAGTTAGGAGTTCAAGAACAGCCTGGCCAACATGGTGACGTCCAGTCCCTACTAAAAATAGAAAAATTGCCGGGCGCGGTGCCTCAAGCCTGTAATCCCAGCACTTTGGGAGGCCGAGGCGGGTGGATCACGAGGTCGAGAGATCGAGACCATCCTGGTCAACCTGGTGAAACCCCGTCTCTACTAAAAATACAAAAAATTAGCTGGGCATGGTGGCACGTGCCTGTAATCCCAGCTACTCAGGAGGCTGAGGCAGAATTGCCTGAACCCAGGAGGCGGAGGTTGCGGTGAGCCGAGATCGCGCCATCGCACTCCAGCCTGGGTAACAAGAGCGAAACTCCGTCTCAAAAAAAAAAAAATAGAAAAATTAGCAGGACATGGTGGCACATGCCTGTAATCCCAGCTACTTCGGAGGCTGAGGCAGGAGAATCGCTTGAACCCAGAAGGCGGAGGGTGCAGTGAGCTCAGATCTCACCACTATATTCCAGACTGGGAAACAAAAGTGAACTCTGTCTCAAAAAAAAAACAACACCCCAGCAGAATAACAAAAACAACAATAACACAGATTGTTCTAGGGAAAAAGAACAAAAGGAATCAAGGCATCCTAAGGACCTTTGCTTTGTTCAAAAGTGTACAGGTATTAATTTAAGACTCAGAAAAACATTAAGTATGCATGTTAAAACTTTAAGTGCAATCACTAAAAGAAAAGAAATAGAGCATATGACCTACACATCAGCAGATAATTTAAAAAATAAAAGAATATAGGGGCCAGGCAGGAAGGGTGGCTCACGCTTATAATCCCAGCACTTTGGGAGGTCAGGGCAGGCAGGTCACCTGAGGTCAGGAGTTCAAGACCAACGTGGAAAACATGGTAAAACTCCATCTCTACTTAAAAAAAAAAAAAAAAAAAATACAAAAATTAGCTGGGCATGGTGATGGGCACCTGTAATCCCAGCTACTCAGGAGACAGAGTAGAACTGAGATAGAATTGCTTGAACTGGGCAGACAGAGGTTGCAGTGAGCAGAGATCTCGCCACTGCCCTCCACCCTGGGCAACAGAGCAAGACTGCCTCTTGACCACAAAAAAAAAAAAAAATGAAGGAAACTCACTCCAACTAAAAGGAAAAAAAGGAAAGGAAAAAAGCTTAACAGATAACACAAAGATGATTACTAATAAACCCAAATGTATCAGTCATTACCATAAAGAATCTGCCTATTTGTACAAATCATCAGATTTTTTTTGTTGTTGTAATTTTTAGAGACACAGGATCTCTTTGTTTCCCAAATGTGTCTCAAACTCCTGGGCTCATGCGTTCTTTCCATCTCAGCCCCTCAACCTCTCAAACTGCGGAGATTACAGGCTTGACGGAGCCACCACACCAGGCCTGAGACTGTATTTAAAAATAAAAAACAAGCTTCATTATATTTACAAGAATGTTTATTACAGTGCTATTTGTGATTATAAAAAAATCAGAACCTTAAATGATAAGAGAACTAAATTGTGATACATTCTGTAACAGAATACTGAAAATCAGATAAGAATAAACTAGATCAAGGGTCGGACTTGGTTAGTACGTGGATGGGATACCGGGTGCTGTAGGCTTAAAAAAAAAAAAAAAAAAGGGCCGGGCACCGTGGCTCAAGCTTGTAATCCCAGCACTTTGGGAGGCCGAGGCGGGTGGATCACGAGGTCAAGAGATCGAGACCATCATGATCAACATGGTGAAACCCCATCTCTACTAAAATACAAAAATTAGCTGGGCATGGTGGCGCGTGCCTGTAGTCCCAGCTACTCAGGAGGCTGAGGCAGGAGAATTGCTTGAACCCGGAAGCCGGAAGTTGCGGTGAGCAGAGATTGCGCCACTGCACTCCAGCCTGGGTAACGAGTGAAACTCTGTCTCTAACTCCGTCTCAAAAAAAAAAAAAAAAAAAAAAAAAGAATGAACTACATCAGTATGCATTAGGTAGCCACATCATAAGTTGCAGAAAATGGTATCGTATACCATTCTGTAAACTTGTATTTTACGGTATTTATAATATATTTAAGAATTAGCCGGGCGCGGTGGCTCAAGCCTGTAATCCCAGCACTTTGGGAGGCCGAGGTGGGTGGATCACGAGGTTGAGAGATCTAGACCAACCTGGTCAACATGGTGAAACCCCATCTCTACCAAAAATAAAAAAAATTAGGTGAGCATGGTGGCGCATGCCTGTAATCCCAGCTACTCAGGAGGCTGAGGCAGGAGAATTGCCTGAACCCAGGAGGCGGAGGTTGAGGTGAGCCGAGATCGCACCATTGCATTCCAGCCTGGGTAACAAGAGCGAAACTCCTTCTCAAAAAAAAAAAAAGAATTAAAATAGGTGCAAAAGACACTAAAAGAATTATGGTTGACCCGGTGCAGTAACTCACGCCTGTAATCCCAGCACTTTGGGAGGCGAAGGCGGGTGGATGAATTGAGATCAGGAGTTCAAGACCAGCCTAGCCAACATGGTGAAACCACATCTCTGCTAAAAATACAAAAATTAGCCGGGTGTGGTAGTGGGTGTCTATAATCCCAGCTGCTTGGGAGGCTGAGGCAGGAGAACTGCTTGAACCTGGGAGCCAGAGGGTGCAGTAAGCAGTGATCCTGCCACTGAACTACAGCCTGAGTGACAGAGCAAGACTCCATCTTAAAAAAAACAAACAAAACGAGCCGGGCGTGGTGGCTCAAGCCTGTAATCCCAGCACTTTGGGAGGCTGAGGCGGGCGGATCACGAGGTCAAGAGATTGAGACCATCCTGGTCAACATGGTGAAACCCCGTCTCTACTAAAAATACAAAACATTAGCTGGGCATGGTGGTGCGTGCCTGTAATCCCAGCTACTCAGGAGGCTGAGGCAGGAGAATTGCTTGAACCCAGGAGGCGGAGGTTGTGGTGAGCCGAGATCGTGCCATTTCACTCCAGCCTGGGTAACAAGAGAGAAACTCCGTCTCAAAAACAAACAAACAAGCCGGGCGCGGTGGCTCAAGCCTGTAATCCCAGCACTTTGGGAGGCTGAGGCGGGTGGATCACGAGGTTGAGAGATTGAGACCATCCTGGTCAACATGGTGAAACCCCGTCTCTACTAACAACACAAAAAATTAGCTGGGCATGGTGGCTCATGCCTGCAATCCCAGCTACTCAGGAGGCTGAGGTAGGAGAATTGCCTGAACCCAGGAGGCGGAGGTTGCGGTGAGCCGAGATCGCGCCATTGCACTCCAGCCTGGGTAACAAGAGCGAAACTCCGTCTCAAAAAAAAAAAAAAAACCAAAAAAAAGAATAATGTTTGACTCAGACTGGGGAGACGATAAAAAGTACTTCAACCTAATTTTTTAATTCGTTATTTGTTTTAAGTAAAAGGGAAGATACGAAGCAAATACAAAGAACCAACATTTGTTCATTTCGGTAGGAACGCGCAGGTATTATATGTTCTATATCATTCAGAACTATTTATAATAAGCAAAAAGAAAATAATAACATAGTGCAACCCTAGATCAATTCCTAAAACTTTTGTTTTTAATTCCATATAAAAGTTTCTCCCTGCCAGGCGCAGTGGCTCACGCCTATAATCCCAGCACTTTGGGAGGCCGAGGCGGGCGGATCACGAGGTCAAGAGATCAAGACCATCCTGGTCAACATGGTGAAACCCCGTCTCTACTAAAAATACAAAAAATTAGCTGGGCATGGTGGTGCGTGCCTGTAATCCCAGCTACTCAGGAGGCTGAGGTAGGAGAATTGCCTGAACCCAGGAGGCGGAGGTTGCGGTGAGCCGAGATCGCGCCACTGCACTCCAGCCTGGGTAACAAGAGCGAAACTCTGTCTCAAAAAAAAAAAAAAAAAAAAAAAAAAGTTTCTCCCTCAAAATTTAAGAAGCTAGGGACCGGACGAGTGGCTCACACCCGTAATCCCAGCACTTTGGGAGGCTGAGGTGGGTGGATCACCTGAGGTCAGGAGTTTGAGACCAGCCTGGCCAACATGGCGAAACCCCATCTCTACTAAAATACAAAAATTAGCTGGGCACGTGGTGGTGTACATCTGTAGTCCCAGCAACTTGGGAAGCTGAGGCAGGAGAATTGCTTAAACCTGGGAGGCGGAGGTTGCAGTGAGCCGAGATAGCCCCTTTGCACTCTAGCCTGGGAAACAAGAGCAAAACTCTGTCTCTCAAAAAAAAAAAAAAAAAAAAAAAAAAAAAATTTAAGAAGCCAGGAAGAACTGCAATAAAAAGAGGCAGAGCAGCAGGGAAAAGTCACAAAGTCACAGCTTACCTCCTACAGGAAAAAACATAGCCCTTCACTTAAATCTAAAATAACAATAACTTAATAATACAAATTCTTTTTTTCTTTGAGATAAGGTCTTATCTCTCGGGCAGTAGTGCAGGGGCACAAACATAGCTCACTGTAGCCTGTAACTCCTAGACTCAAGTGATCCTCCTACCTCAGTCTCCCAAGTAGCTGGACCACAAGTGTGCACCATCATGCCCAGCTGTTTTTATTTTTTGTGGAGATGTTGTCACCTTGACACGTAGGCTGGTTTTGAACTCCTGGGCTCAAGGGATCCTCCTGCCTCAGCATCCCAAAGTGTTGAGATTACAGGGGTGAGCTGCCATGCCCAGCCTCTCCCCTCTCCCCTCCCTACTTTTGAGACAGGGTCTCCCCCTGTTACCCAGACTGTGCTGCATTGGCATGATCTCAGCTCACTGCAACCTCCACCTCCTAGGCTCAAGAGATCCTCCCACCTCAGCCTCCCAAGTACCTAGGACTACAGGCACATGCCAACATGCCTGGCTAATTTTTGTATTATTTTGTAGAGAGAGGGTTTCGCCATGTGGCCAGGCTGGTCTCAAGCTCCTGAATTCAAGCAATCAGCCCGCCTCAGCCACCCAAAGTGCTGGGATTATAGACATGAGTCACTGCACCCGCCCCCAACCCCTTCAGAGAGACTGGGTATCCCTATGTTGCCCAGGATGGAATGCAGTGGCTATTCACAGGTGTGATCATTGTACACGACAGCCTTGAATTCCTGGCCTCAAGAGATAAAATTTTCTTGAGGCCAGGAGTTCAAGTTGCAATGAGCTATGATCACACTCTAACCTGGGCAACACAGTAAGACTCCAACTTTAAAAAAATTTTTTAGGGCCGGGCGTGGTGGCTCACGCCTGTAATCCCAGCCCTTTGGGAGGCTGAGGCGGACGGATCACGAGGTCAAGAGATCGAGACCATCCTGGTCAACATGGTGAAACCCCGTCTCTACTAAAAATACAAAAAATTAGCTGGGCATGGTAGCGGGTGCCTGTAATCCCAGCTACTCAGGAGGCTGAGGCAGGAGAATTGCCTGACCCCAGGAGGTGGAGGTTGCGGTGAGCCGAGTTAGCGCCATTGCACTTCAGCCTGGGTAACAAGAGTGAAACTCCATCTCAAAAAAAAAAAAAAATCTTTTTTTAAATAGGCCGGGCACAGTGGCTCACAGTCACCTCAGTACTTTGGGGGGCTGAGGCGGGAAGACTGCTTGAGTCCAGGAGTTTAAGACCAGCCAGAGGAACACAGCGAGACCCCACTTCTACAAAGAAAGTTAAAACTAAGCCAGGCATGCTGGTGTACACCTGTGGCACCAGCCATTCTAGAGGCTGAGGCAGGAAGACTTTTAAAGCCCACGAGGTTGGGGCTGCAGTAAGCCATGATCACACAACTGCACTGCAGCCTGGGAGATAGAGCAAGACCCTGTTTCAAAAAAATTAAAAAATTAGAATAATAAATGATAGGCCAGGGCGACAGAGTGAGACTCTGCCTCAAAAAATAATAATAATAAATAATAATACATAAAAAGCAAAGTAGAGGCTGGACCCAGTGGCTCACACCTGTAATCCCAGCACTTTGGGAGGCCAAGGCAGACATATCACCCGAGGTCAGGAGTTCACAACCAGCCTGACCAACATAGTGAAACCCCATCTCTACTAAAACTACAAAGATTAGCCAGCAGTAGGGCAGGGAGCAGTGGCTCACGCCTGTAATCCCAGCACTTTGGGAGACCAAGGTGGGCAGATCTCAAGGTCAGAAGATCGAGACCATCCTGGCCAACATGATGAAACCTCGTCTCTACCAAAAATACCAAAAAAAAAAAAAAAAGATTAGTTGGGCTTGGTGGTGTGTGCCTGTAATCCCAGCTACTTGGGAGGCTGAGGCAGGAGAATCGCCTGAACCATGGAGTTGGAGGTTGCAATGAACCAAGATTTCGCCACCACACTCCATCCTGGCAACAAAGTCTCTGTCTCAAAAAAAAAAAAAAGCAATAATTAGCCGGGCTTGGTGGTAGGTGCCTGTAATCCCAGCTCCTCGGGAGGCTGAGGCAGGAGAATGGCTTAAACCTGGGAGGTGGAGGTTGCAGTGAGCTGGGATTGTGCCTGCACTCCAGCCTGGGGGACAAGAGTGAGACTTCATCTCAAAAAAGAAAAAATTAGCCAGGCACCGTGGCGAGCCTATAATCCCAGCTACTCTGGAGGCTGAGACAGGAGAATCACTTGAACCCAGGAGGCGGAGGTTGCAGTGAGCCGAGATCACGCCAACACACTCCAGACTGGGTAACAAGAATGAGACACTGTCTCAAAAAAAAAAATTAGCCAGGAGTGGTGATGCATGCCTATAGTCTCAGCTACTTGGGAGGGTGAGGCAGGAGAATCACTTGAACCTGGGAGGTTGAGGTTGCCATGAGCCAAGGTCACATCACTGTACTCCAGCCTGGGCCACAGAGTGAGACTCAGTCTCAAAATGAAACAGCAAAGTAGAATGTTTAAAAACTAAACTATCCTACCTGGCCAGGTACGGTCCCTCATGCCTGTAATGTCAGCACTTTGGGAGGCCAAGGCAGGAGAATTGCTGGAGCTCAAGAATTTGAGACCAGTCTGGGCAACATGGTGAAACCCTGTTTCTACTAAAAATACAAAAAGTAGCCAAGCATCCTGGTGCATGTCTGTAATCCCAGCTATTCAGGAGGCTGAAGCACAAGAATCACTGGAACCCAGGAGGCAGAGGTTGCAGTGAGCTGAGATCATACCACTGCACTCCAGCCTGGGTGATGAGGCAAGACTGGATTTTTTAAAAATCAAATTTAATTTTTTAAAAATCCTCTGTATCTCATCAAAATTATATAAGTAAATAAAATTTCTAATAAGTCACATCAGCCTGCAGTAATTCAGAATAAATGCTCACTAAATAAAAAATAGGCCAAGCATGGTGGCTCACATCTGAAATCCCAACACTTCGGGAGGACAACATGGGAGGATCTCTTGAAGCCAGGTGTTTGAGACTAGCCTGGGCCACATAACAAGACCTGTCTTTACCAAAAATTTTAAAATTAGCCAGACATAGTGGCATGTGCCTATGGTTCTACTCAGGAGGCTGAAGCAAGAGGATTCCTTGAGCCCCAGAGTTCGACGTTGCAGTGAGCTAAAATCGCACCACTGATTCCAGCGTGGGCAAAGAGCGAGATCTTGTCTCTAAATACATACATACAAAAATAGTCATGAGAGGGGGCCAGGTGAGGTGGCTCACGCCTGTAATCCCAGCACTTTGGGAGGCCAAGGCAGAAGGATCACAAGGTCAGGAGTTCGAGACCAGCATGACCACCATGGTCAAACCCTGTCTCTCCTAAAAATACAAACATTAGGTGTGCTGCTGAGAACTGCTAAGAGGTTGGCGGCACAGGGCTGAAGGCTAGCAGACAGAGAGATCACGTGGCACAAACAAATTTACTATTCAGACAAATACGACAACAAGGAGTTTGAGTATCAGCATGTCATGGTGCCCAAGGACATAGCCAAGCTGGTGCCTAAAACCCATTTGATGTCTGACTTTGAATGGAGGAATCTTGGTGGTCAGCAGAGTCAGGGATGGCTGCATTACACCATCGATTAACCAGAACCTCACATTTTAACTGTTCCAGCACCCACTACCCAAGAAGCCGAAGATGTGAAGCTGGCAAGCCACTTTCCAGCCTCAAGCTTTACATAGCTGTTCTTACTTCCTAACATCTTTCTGATGACATTATTATGTTCTCTTCTTGTTTCTCACTTTGAAATTTAAAAGATGTTCAATACACTGTTTGAATGCGCTGGTAACTGCTTTGCTTCTTGAGTAGAGCCACCACCACCATAGCCCAGCCAGATGAGTGCTCGGTGGACCCAAAGCCTCAGCTGAATCTGACCCCAAAAGCCACAGTGTGCTGTGTATCCAGAACACACACGGCAGATGGAGGAAGCATCTGAGATTAAGACCATGGCAGTTACAGGCATTGTGAAACTTGTTATTGTTTTTTCCTGCCAGGTGTTGTGTGTATGGTGACTTGTGGATTTATGTTTCAGTATACTGAAAACTTCCTACTTTATTCAAGAAATCTGTTCATGTTATAACACTTGATTAAAGAGGAAGTTTTTATAATTAAAAAAAAAATCCAAACACTAGCCAGGCATGGTGGTGCGCACCTATAATCCTAGCTAGTCAGGAGACTGAGGCAGGAAAATCGCTTGAACCCGGGAGGCAGAGGCTGCAGTGAGCCAAGATCCCACCACTGCACTCCAGCCTGGGTGACAGAGTGAGACTCCGTCTTCAAAAAAACCAGAAATAGTCAATGAGAAAGTGTGCAACTTAATTTTCGTTTGGGAGACAGTGTGCTTCTTCTAAATAACGAATGTCCATCTACAAAAAACTTCCCTTGGCCGGGCGCGGTGGCTCAAGCCTGTAATCCCAGCACTTTGGGAGGCCAAGGCGGGTGGATCACGAGGTCAAGAGATCGAGACCGTCCTGGTCAACATAGTGAAACCCCGTCTCTACTAAGAATACAAAAATTAGCTGGGCATGGTGGCGCATTCCTGCAATCCCAGCTACTCAGGAGGCTGAGGCAGGAGAATTGCCTGAACCCAGGAGGCGGAGGTTGCGGTGAGCCGAGATCGCGCCATTGCACTCCAGCCTGGGTAACAAGAGCAAAACTCCGTCTCAAAAAAAAAAAAACAAAAAAAACTTCCCTTACAAACCAACCTTTCCTCAACCTCATCTCTTCATTTTTCTCTTTTCTTATACTTTCCACACAACAATCAAATCCTCTTCTGTCTTCCATGCCCTATAACCAAGGTTCTACCCAAACGAGGAAGCTGTATTTGCTGTCTCAAAAATGTTTTAGTACTTCAGTATCCCTGGCAGTATTGTTACTATCAACTGTTCTTTCTAAAAACCCAGTTGTCTCCGTTGTGACTGTACTTTTTTTTTTTTTTTTTTTGAGACACAGTTTCTCTCTTGTTGCCCAGGCTGGAGTACAACGGTGCAATCTTGGCTCACCACAACCTCTGCCTCCCAGGTTCAAGTGATTCTCCTGTCTCAGCTTCCAGTGTAGCTGGAATTACAGGCAAGAGCCACCACGCCCAGCTAATTTTGTATTTTTAGTAGAGATGAGTTATTCCATGTTGGTCAGGCTGGTCTAGAACTCCTGACCCCAGGTGATCCACTCACCTTGGCCTCCCAAAGTGCTGGGATTACAGGCAGGAGCCACCACACCCAGCCACAATTGTACTTTTAAGGTTCTCTTTTCCTGATAGTTCACCACCAATCCCTGGTAATCACTTTTACTCTCCCAAATGTGAACATTTATCTTCTCTAGCATAAAAAGGCATGTGGTTCCCAGTTTTCCCTCTATGCAGCTTCAACTCTGACTTTACTCTGTAACTGTATCCTAAATTTCCAGTACAAAAATCTTGGCAGCATCAAAACCAACATGCCCAAAACAGGTCTTTCTTTTCTCTTCACTTGCTCTCCTTCCTCTACTACAACTGCACTAATATTTATTAATGGTATCACCACTAATGAATGAGCACCCTGATATCTAAGAATCATTTTTGATTATTCCCTTTCCTTTACCTAACATCCATTTCTGTCATTTCATCCTTCAAAATGCTCCCTTCTTTTTCTACTCCCTCCCTTTCTATTCCCACATCTTCATAGTAATAGCATCCTAAGTCCATCTCGAACCTCCCCTTTCAAGTCAATTCTATATAGTACCAATTTACTTTTCTGAATCTTTACTGTTTGGTGTCTGTCAGGGTTCTACCAGGTCATAATCTCCCTTCCCTGAGAAGTGAGCTACCACCAATCCACAGAGTTCTTCCTGTGTCTGAGCAACTTGACCCTATTATCTCACCATTGCAAAATGGTCCAGAGCTAGGTACCTCATCCAAGCCAAACCAGAGCTGGGTTTTTGTTTTATTGTTTTCTCCAAAGGAACATGAGATTAGGACTGAATTTGCTTGCTTTTGAGACAAGAGATGGAAAACATCAGGAGCTGAGGTATAGTCATCTTTCACCATAGGAAGCAACACAGTAGTAAGAGTTTCATCATGTCCCAGACTCTCATAAAACATCTATTTTTCTTAAAGCTGTAGTATCCTTATCCACAAAATGAAAATAATATCTACCTCATAGATGTAATAGGATGCTTAAATGAAATAACTGTCATAAAACATTTAGCACAGTATGGCACACAGTAAACACTCAACAAGTTAGCTACTGATTGTTGGAACAAGTAGCAGAATAAATCTGCAGGAAGAAAAGAATGAGAGTAGGCATGCAGACAAAAGCAGAAAAAATATTCACAAGACTATTTCAGTTCCCTTTCTGGGTCAAATACATTTCCATTATTAGGATTCTTGGCTCCTGTATCCTAATAATAAAATGCCCTTTCTTTGCTTATTTGTTTCTTACAAAGGACCCTACCTTTTACAATTATACACTATAGGCCAAGCGCAGTGACTAACACCTGTAATCACAGCACTTCGGGAGGCCAAGGCAGGCAGATCACCTGAGGTAAGGAGTTTGAGACCAGCCTGACCAACATGGAGAAATCCCATCTCTACTAAAAATACAAAAATAAGTCAGGCGTGGTGGCACATGCCTCTAATTCCAGCTACTCAGGAGGCTGAGACAGGAGAATCACTTGAGTCTGGGAGGTGGAGGTTGCGGTGAGCCAAGATCATACCATCACTATTGCACCTGGGCAACAAGAGCAAAACTCAATCTCAAAAAAATAATTATACAAATACACATATAAGTATGTATGTATGTATAAACTATACACTACGGGGATTTTTAAAAGGTTATGGCTCTGCCTCTTTAAAAATCCTTGGACGGGTGTGATGGCTTATGCATGTAATCCCAGAACGTTGGGATACAGAGGTGGGGGGATCACCTGAGGTGAGGAGTTCAAGACCAGCCTGAACAACATGGAGAAACCCTGTCTCTACTAAAAATACAAAATGAGGCCGGGCGCGGTGGCTCAAGCCTGTAATCCCAGCACTTTGGGAGGCCGAGGCGGGCGGATCACAAGGTCAAGAGATCGAGACCATCCTGGTCAACATGGTGAAACCCCGTCTCTACTAAAAATACAAAAAATTAGCTGGGCATGGTGGGGCATGCCTGTAATCCCAGCTACACAGGAGGCTGAGGCAGAATTGCCTAAACCCAGGAGGCGGAGGTTGCGGTGAGCTGAGATCGCACCACTGCACTCCAGCCTGGGTAACAAGAGCGAAACTCCGTCTCAAAAATAAATAAATAAATAAAAAATAAAAATAAAAATAAAAATAAAATTTAAAAAAAATAAAATAAGCCGGGCGCGGTGGCTCAAGCCTGTAATCCCAGCACTTTGGGAGGCCGAGGCGGGTGGATCACGAGGTCAAGAGATCGAGACCGTCCTGGTCAACATTGTGAAACCCCGTCTCTACTAAAGGTGCAAAAAATTAGCTGGGCATGGTGGCGCGTGCCTGTAATCCCAGCCACTCCGGAGGCTGAGGCAGGAGAATTGCCTGAACCCAGGAGGCGGAAGTTGCAGTGAGCCGAGATCGTGCCATTGCACTCCAGCCCGGGTAACAAGAGCGAAACTCCGTCTCAAAAAAAAAATAAATAAATAAAATAAAATACAAAATGAGCCAGGCCTAGTGGCACACGCCTGTAATCGCAGCTACTTGCCTGGGCAACAAAAGCAAAACTCCATCTCAAAAAAAAAAATTACAAAAAATTAGCCGGGGCCAGGCACCACGGCTCACACCTGTAATCCCAGCACTTTGGGAGGCTGAGGTGGGCGGATCATGAGGTCAAGAGATCGAGACCATCCTGGCCAACATAGTGAAATCCCATCTCTACTAAAAATACAAAAATTAGCTGGGCGTGGTGGCGTGCACCTGTAGTCCCAGCTACTCGGGAGGCTGAGGCAGGAGAAATGCCTGAACCCAGGAGGTAGAACCGGAGATCAAGCCACTGCACTCCAGCCTGGCACCTAGCGATAGAGCAAGACTCTGTCTCCAAAAAAAAAAAAAATTAGCCAGGCACAGTGACAGGCGCCTGTAATCCCAGCTACTCAGGAGGCTAAGGCAGGAGAATTGCTTGAACCCAGAAGGTGGAGGATGCAATGAGCCGAGATCACACCATTGCACTTCAGCCTGGGCAACTTCATCTCCAAAAAAAAAAAAAAAAAAAAAAAAAAATCCCTAATGGCCCCCACATTCCCACCAAATGATGCTGAAATAAAATGTCTCTCGGGCCGGGCGCGGTGGCTCACGCCTATAATCCCAGCACTCTGGGAGGCCGAGGCGGGTGGATCACGAGGTCAAGAGATCGAGACCATCTTGGTCGGCGAGGTAAAACCCCGCCTCTACTAAAAATACAAAAATTAGCCGGGCATGAGTGGTGCACGCCTGTAGTCCCAGCTACTCGGGAGGCTGAGGCAGGAGAATTGCTTGAACCCAGGAGGCAGAAGTTGCGGTGAGCCGAGATTGTGCCATTGCACTCCAGCCTGGGTAACAACAGCGAAACACCGTCTCAAAAAATAAATAAATGAATAAATAAAATAAAATAAAATGTCTCTCTTAAAAACTTTTTTTTCTTAAAGAGACAGGGTCTAATTCTGTCACCTGTAGTAGTATGCAGTAGTGTGAT